CCAATTTGCAACCCCTAAAAAATAAAAAAAAAAAAAAAAAAAACCCCAAAATGCTTAATCAATGTCAACACCATTGAGCTCTTTACTTCATTTGTGCACCCTCTTCAACCACCACCTACCCTATCACAGCCAATGCACAGAAAGGATTGCAAAGGAAAAGAACCAAGATAAGAAGTGGGGAAGGAGTAGGATTCTAGACAGAGGATAAAGCCTGTAGCCCACATCTAGAATGCCAATCAAGTTAAACTACAATGTCATATGAGAAATATAGTAATGATACAGCGACACACTATCTAACAGTTTCACAAGAATGCAAGCCAATTAGCCACATGCAACACAATCAACTGACAAAAGCATATATGACTAGTACTCTAAAATAAATCCTCTTATTTGCAAGTTACTATATACACTTTCAAGTCAATCTGTTATAAGCAATCCTTACACTCCTCCAACACGTCCTAGTAGATGCCTATACAGCGTCCAGTTGGTACGAATATCTTTCTGAAACCTAAGAGCCTTTGTACAGCTAATTGGTGCTTCCCCCAAAGCCATCACCATTCTTTAATTTAGGAGCCGTCAATAGTGAGTGTCATTAATGTGCTTAATGTTAATCTATACCTAATCCATCAAGCTAAACACGATATCCAAAATGGAATCGAATATCCAAACTGGAATCGAGGATCGTAAAATGAACTTGCCCCGGTACATGACTGAAGTTTCCACTCACCTTAGATATTTTCCGTCCATTTTGGATATAAAGCATTCACTCCTTTCATCAAGAAAACAGAAGAGTGAAGAAAAATAAAGAACTTGCATGACCTGTCAATCGTTAAAGTCCCCTAAGCTCTACATACCGGCACAGTATGTGGAACCATTTATATAATACCAGTAACGCTGTACAACCATTCTAAACCTCATCATCATTTTACTGTCAGGGATGAACAATAGGAATGACTTCATAAGAAATTAATTTGTAACATGTATGCAAAATCTATTCATAAACTGAGTTCTTTTTCATCATTTTATAGAAAGCACGACAAATAGAAGCACATTTGGAAAATAAGTATTTGTGATTCAAGGTATAGGTGCATCTTGATCGTCTAATGCCAGATAATAAATTCAGTTTCCATGTATAGGTGTCTACACTGCAAACACCATATAGGCAGCCACTTTCCACAATTGCAATCATTTCTTATTCCTGTAACCATAAAAACAATCCAGCGGAAAAATATCCATTTTTGAATGCTATACATGCTTTGATCTACGTGCATGAAAAGGCATCGTGACAATGAACCTCACCTTGGTTCAACAGCCGGTAGGTATTAGGAAGCACAGGCAAAAAGGGACTAATCTTGAGACGCTCTGCCAACAACTCCGACAAATATCTGCTTAACAAAAACATATCAAGCATCAATTAACCATGCAATTGCGCCAATATCCGCGTACATACAATCACTGCCATGCTATAAATAAAAAAGCTGCGGAGATACACATAACTAATCAATCATTTAATAAATCTACTACTGTTAGAAACCATTTCATAAACACATCATTCACAATCATCAGAATTCGGCCTCGGAGCTCAAGCAGATACAAAATACAACAAAAGTTACAAAATTAACTGCTTCACACAACAAACACAGAAATTAACAACAGAAAGATGACAAAACAGTAAAGAAGCTGACTTGATTCATACAGTAACAACCAGAAGCACAAAACGAGTTACCACATCAATAGGCACATAAATCAATCGCTAAATCCAGCAGTAAAGTCAACGATCAAGCAAAATCCACAGCAAAAAAAAATACGAGACTCAAGACTAGTGATAATAAAAAAAAAAAACTAGATCTGTTCAACTAAAATGAAAGATCCAGATCTCTATAGATTTATAAAAGAGACAGTGAAGAGTTGAGAGAGAGAGAGAGATTATACTTTTCTTGCTCAACAACAAGAGCAGAAGAAGCTGCCGATGAGCGAAGACCAGAGATATGAGGCGAGTAGGGAGCAGATGGAGACGGAGAGTAAGCCATAAAGCGACCAGCACCGACGCCGACGCCGACGGTGGTGGTCATTTTATCAGTACTCCAATCAATATCCTTATAGATATCCGTTTTGTTGGATTTTTAATAAATCAATTAGAATTATAATTAATATATAGAGCAGCAGTAGCGAGCGGCTACCAGCAGAGAGGCAGCCGGAAAGAGAAATGATTTTTATTTTTTTATTTTTTATCCTATTTTTTGGTGCTTGTGGTTATGGCCGCTACCAGACTCGCTAGCTCCCTGTATCTTCTCTCCTGCGTCGGTGGAATTTGTATTTATACGTAAATAAAATAACATGAGAATATTAAAGGAGTCACCGTTTTGTTTTTCCTTTTTTATTATTTTATTTTAGCCTTTTACTGTTAACGGCTCCTGTAAAGAAAGAAGGACAATCATGGAAGGTAATTCGAGGGGGAGTGTTTTTTTTTATTTTAGTCCTTGAAGTTCTTGTGTTGTTAGGTATTAGTTCTTGTTTGTTCGTTTGAAGGAAATCGAGTAACAAAATACGATAGAAATATTCCTTTTTGATGGCCAGAGAATTACGTGCATGAATTATTTCATGATAAATATTTTAAATTAAATTAAACACTATCTTTTAATTAATGCATTCGATTATTATAAAAAAGAATATTAGTAAAATAACTCTACTTAACATATAATTTCAATTATTTATTTCTCAAATCATTTTTGAAGTTTCCTTCTCTCTTTTTTCATTCAAAGAAAGGGTATTCTCGTGCCTGTTTTAATGTACCCAACTAATTTCATTATAAGAAGCAATGTCATTCTATAATTTATTATCGACCAACTTAATATATTTTAATATATTTTGTTTGCATTGTATTACAAAATAATTTAACATAAACACAATATAATATAAGAGAAAAAGTTTATGAATCCACATAACTTCCAAAAACTAAGGCTGCCTCAATCAATTCCCTTATTGTCTTAAGCTAAAAAGTGACTAATCTTTTACTAAGTTGATGTCTAAAGCCATCACTCAGTTCTTTTTCCTATGATACTTTGTAGGCATTATGGTGGTAGAAAATATAAAAAGGTATTAGAAAAACCTCTCATATTCAAATATTTTTCATATTTTCTTGTCTCAAAGCCAAACACTCATATTATTTGTTTTTCAAATGCTGCCTATTTAATTTTAAATTCAACCTTGAAATCTCTCTAAGTCAAATTCTCGCTCGACCTTCTCTCCCTCACTATGGCCCATCATAAATGAGCCTTATTTAATAATAATTGAGTCACACAAGCTACTTATACATCTACTAGAAATGATATTTGCAAAAATAATTGTTCAATCGTTCGTAGTCAGTATCCAACCACCTCAGCATCCTCCTTCCCTAGAAAAGATACACAACCTCTCTCCTTAGTGTTTTTAACCTAATACACCATGATATGCATATTTTCCCTAATCTTAGTGGTTGCCACTCCTACCATCCCAGACATAAGGGTCTTTGTAACATGTTCCCAATAGGCAAGGTTTGGGTACATTAATGTAACCCCTAGAAGCAATGTCTATGAGGGTTCTTTTACTTGTACCTCTACAATAGTCGTTACTGGTTGTGGTATTTCAACTCTATTTGATGCTGAAATATTTCTAAACTTCGATAACTTTCCCTGAATAGATTACACCTATATTGAAGGAGCATAAGAGGCACTAGTAGCCAAGAGGTCCTCTCATATTTCTCAACATTCTCTCTTTTCATATTTCTATTTTGGAAAAAAGGATAGATCAGTTCTAGATCCATAATGGGTGCACATCATCCTCAAATACACACGATTTCACATTAACCATATGTCCACTATATCATAATTATGCTTTGATACCAACTGTAACAACCCCTATTTATATATGTATAGAATAATTAAAAATTATATGTATGTATTGGATCCACTCATATATAACCAATACAGAATAATTAAAAATTATTGATTATAATAACACTAGAATTAAATAATCACTTACGAAATCAAAATGATAATAATGAGCAAACATACAAACTTACTATTTTTAAACATCATGATCAACCAAATATAGGTTTGTAGCTTAACTTTCAAAATACAAACATAGTTTAATGGTTCTAACACCTTATTACAAATCCTTAAGAAAAAAATTAGCGTAGATAATCTTCTAATTATGGTAAGTATGCGAAGGTTTTGAAAGAAAAACAACATATGTAAAGAAAAATAATTAAAAGTAAAGAACATATATAATTCATCATTAAATTAATTATTAAATTCTAAATGAAATCATAAACATCAAATGGTACAATACCAAGCCATAAAGATCTTAATTTATAATGCAACCATATTATTTGATATTTTCACTCATATTTAACTAGTGTTTTGCCTATGTTTTATATATAAAATATCTTGATATTCTTTATTTTATATTTTAAAGGCACTTTTAGATGAAAGATGTAAAAAGAAGTAAATTGGAGGTAATTGGCAGATTTGACTTTCAGTCGATATTTTGTGCAGAGCATGAGCTTTAAAGGTCGAAATGAAGTGATTTCAGTGGAATTAAAAAGCTATCATTTATACATTTCTGGAAATCTAAGGTAAGAAAATAAAATAAGAAAGAGCGTGAAAATCGCAGCCTTCAAAGTCAAATCTCGTCATTCCGACTTGAATATCTAGAGTTACAAAAGTTCAATTGATGCAAACTTAATTTTGTTGGATTTCTGACTCAAAGATCTGTTAACTCTCTAAATTGAAGCAAAAAATAATGTCATGCGAGGAAGATATGATTTTTTAAAGATAACAACTAAATTCTACCAACAAATATGTTTCGTGAAGAAACGAGTTCAAATTACATTCTGAAGCATCTAAATTGATATCCAAGTTTTTATTTCAGTAATTTAGCTCCTCTAAGTCAAAGCTTAAAGATTTCTTGTAAGGTTATTTCTTTTTTTTGTTAGAAAAATAGTTATTAAAATACTTAAATGTAAATAGTCTACTTATGCAAGGATTATTTTGTAAAATAAACACTAGAGTTTCCTGGGATATAAAAAGAATGAGAGAATAGAATGGGTGGTAGCCAACTAAGAGGAGAAAACGCCCTCTTTCTTTAAGAAATTTGAAATCATGCATTCCTCCTTCTTTTTGATTAGTTGTTCAACAAACATGTAAGACTAACCTCTTTTTCTTAGTTGCAATGATACGAAAACCTTCGAATTTTAAGAACCATGAGATTTATTTTACCTTTTTTTCTAGTTTATATGATGAATATGTTTGTTCTTCTATACTTATTTTTCCTATGATTGTTTATTTTAATTGCTATAGCGGACTCTAGGTTAGTATTGTGGACAATCTATTGCTAAGTTTAATATCAAAATTGGAGTTGTGATATATGAACTTTTGAAGCAATTGAGTTTAATAATTGTGACGGATCTACATTATTAATCTTAGAGAAAACATTCAATCAACTCAAACATAGACTGCAGACAGTTATGTTTTCCTGATTAAAAAACTTATCTAATTCTTAAGGCTGCCATTGAATTAAATTATTAGTGTTGACGCTATGGTTGTTTAATGGTTAAGGTTAGTTATATTAATCAATTTACTTGTTATCTTAGAAAAATCCTACATTTAACGATTTGCATCACTTCATGGTGTACTTGTTTCAATAATAACCACATTAATCAATCTACTCAATATCTTAGTCAAAAATTAATTATTTTCCATTTAACATTTGAAATTTAATACTTCTAACTTTAATAAATTAATTTACATAATATTTTCAAAACTTAAATAGCTAGCTAACTCATCTCGATTACCAAATAATTCTAACACTTTCATATAATTACTCACAAATTGGTTTTCCTTCCTCGATTACCAATAAATCCGGTAATTCCATTTGAATTATCCATCATCCAACTAACCATTTTTTATTATTATCCAATCAATTTGGTAATTGTATATGAATTACTCCATATCCGGCTAACCTCTTTATTAACCAATTGATTGATACTTAAAAGTGTATTTTTATCAAGGTTTTATATCATCATTTTGTACTTGAAGTATTAATAACTCCTTAACTAAAACATGTTTTATAATAATATATCTAATAATATAAAATACCTTTAATTTATGGTAAATGTTCATTTTAAATGCAGACCTATCACATAAATGAAAGGATTGATTGATGAATTTAAGAACTGAAATTGAAAGGATAAAGAGATGGCCAAACTTAGAAAAGAGATGTCGGTGCAATCCAAATCAGAACACTGTTCAGTAATTAGGTCATATCTGAAGCTATAGATCTCAGATTTATGTCTACTTTATATGGATGGAAAGGTAAGACATAGGCCTACAACTTTCATGAAACCCAAGATCTAAAAAGGTCATTTTCAAGTCCAAATTGTTGCAACAACAAAGAAGCCCAGATCTGTCCTCCAGCTCGAGCACTATTCAGTATTTTGGCCATATCTAGAGTTATAGAAGTCAAAATGAGCTGAATTTTTTACACAAGAAAGATGAGACAATTTTATAAAAATTTCATGTTTTCAAGTAGCTCCAATTTTGACGTTATCAATGATGTTTTGGGCAGACAAGAGAAGATAAGGATTGTCACCAAGTCAAGAGTTGGTCACCCACTCATCAATTAGTTATCAAATCAATAGTTTCCAATTTGGGCTTATAAAAGGAGGCATTTGCCATGCATTTAAGCATCTTGGTATCCAGATCAAGATCATGCTCTTGCTTTCTCTCTTTGTATTTTTTGTAATGTTTATGCTTTGTTTTCATTAATATCAAGTTTAGGCCTTTCATTTCCTTTCCTTTACTTAGTTAACTTTTATCTTATTTATGTTCTTATTTTGTTTATCTATTTTTCTTTCTTTCATTATGTCTAGCTAAGTTTATTATGTCAATGTGAAAAGGTTACACTAATGATGTAAGAATAAGTATAGTATAAACTTAATATGGACTTTAATGTTTGATACTAACATGTTTTATATTTGTTATCTTGTTCACTCTTTAATACTTTGCTTGTTAAATGACTAATCTTGATTTATGTTGTATAACACTTGGTACAACAAATGCTTGGCACTTTTATAGCCCATACTGTATGGTATAATCGACACCTGAGCTATGAAAGGAACTTGATTTGTTGTTAACATAAGTTATAATCATGAATGTTTGACGAAATTTACAAGTATTAGCATTAATTGAATAAGATGACTAATGTAATCATGTTAACAATGTATAATCCGATTGGAACCTCCTTTATGTATGGTTTCCAATTGAATAA